AGTAAGGGGAGGAAATGAATTTTTGTCTTGTTAACTCCAGAATATTGACTACTTGCACAATCCCATAATGCATCTGTTTTGGGGGGTTATTTGCATTAAAACAATGGATATTCTGTTCACTGAAGCATGATACAGTCCCATGAGTAAATAACTTGTATTGTTTTTATGTAAAGAACCCCCCAAAACAGATTGCATTATGGGTTTGTGCAAGTAGTCAATTAGAAAATATGTGATTTCTCTTTGTATTTATGAGGTAACTGTAGGATGCCTAGTTTTGGGGGGCGCATGAGAAGATTGCATTCTTTTCACGTATACCTCAACTTGCACCCTGTATGTTCTTTTGTAGCAAAAACAGTCAGAAAGCATAAATTATCACTAAGTTATGCTTTTATAGTGGCTGTGCTGTTTCTCATAAAAATAGATTTAAATTTGTAAGTTAAAAAGCTTACTGTGTTCAATTTTAATGGAATGAATGGTGCATGATATTTAATTTAAGTTGAAAGTTTGCTTAACCACTGAAGTAAAAATTCTCAATATTGTTTGCTACATTCTAAAGGAATATTGTGAATTTGTACATCAATTTTTGCCTGATTTCGGCAGGGTTAAGTAAAGTGATGCCGCATTTTAGTCATGAACATTGTACATGGCAATTCTTTGTACAATAAAAAATAATTATGGTTCAGGTATAACAGACCTTTGTGACATTTTCGGTCTCAAGTTTGAAACACGAATTCTCCTTGGTTGTTTTCATACATTTCCTTTAGTTTTGGTTAGAAGAATTTTATGGAACATCAAGACAGTATCTTGAAGTTGATCATCATTAAAAGGGTGAGTTCTTAGACATCAGTAAATCTTCACCCCAAAGATAAACTCACACCCATAATCTCAGTGACACCCCCTTCCATGTGGACAACCCTCTACCATAAAGTCAAATACTCTTTATAACCATGAAGGCATTAATTTATTTGTTGACGTGACAAGATTGGGCCCTGTGTCCGACTCGTGCTAATAGCAACTCGACTAAGAGTCAAATAAATGGAATACCATCACACGCCATACACACCCTGATTTCTCACTGGATCGGCCATGATTTCAGGCCTTTGCCTCTGTTTCAAAACAAGGCCTTCTAAATATGAAAATGAATTCGATTTTGCATGAAAATGAACATTTTGGTGAGAAACTGCTTTGCTCAAGGCCTCATTTTGAACAGACAAATGGCGCAATCCTCGCATTATAACAAGTTTGTATAAACTGAGGTGAACAAAATGCAAGACAATGGAGCTTCCCAACGAGGAAAACGGCATGCTGGCGGAAAACAAAAACTACTGAGCGAAACCTAGCTGTGCTCCTAAAAATTCGTGGAGGTCACCTGGCCCAGGTATGCAAAATAATTTTTTTCTAAATTTACTTTTGTGAAACAGAAGTCTTTTCTTCTTTCGGAATCTTCTCTTGTTATTACCACTTTTCATCTTTCCTCGTCTTTCAAATTCAAGATGGTCGCCATCTTGCAAGAACGAGAGGCTTGCTCGATTTGCTCCAGGGTTCTCGGTTGTTCCACTTGTCCCTGTTAGCCGGCGGGGCCTTGGCAGGAAGAAATGGTGGCTCTGTAGACAAATGATTTGATTGGCTAGATTCTTTGACTGAGATTTTCACTAATTCAACGCTGGCTTCCTTTCTGAAAACACCCACTGGTTTATCTCTAACTAAAACTGCTCGATTACAGCATCCACAGATGTTAACAACGGGAATTTATAAGAGAAGTAAAATTCTGACCGAAAGAGGCATTTGACATGTTTCTTCATGGAAAACTTGTCTTCAGTGAAAATTCTCCCCGTTTTAGGGCCGGTCAAATTTTATTTAAGACCTATATGGAGGTAAGGAAATCAAGTTCAAGAGATGTGGATTCATCTGCTGCGTTTTCTTGGAAAGACAGCTGCACTTGACCGGAAGAAGTTTTTTTGACTGTGTTTCTGAGAATCAGCGGCTAAAAATAACGGACCAATGACACTGATGTATGTATGGAGTCTGATTGTTTAGATAGCATTAAAAGGGGAGGTTTCTGAGAACTGAGAAAGGAAATAACATTTTCCTGGAACTGTCGAGAACGCTCTTTTAACTCCATGTTGCGAAATGTAATATTTTTGCAGAGAAATACGTATTTCATGTGTTGCTTGCCGATAATTACCTAGGAATGTGCTGACAAATCGTCTAGAGGAGTTAAGGTGAGTTGATCAAATACTTGTCTCTTCACGGTCTGCTATCTGTTATGTAACAACTGCAAGTTGCCTGAAATCGAAGCACTGTCTAGTTCAACATACCACATCATTCTATACTGCCTCGCAGCCTTTCCTTTTCCACTGTCGTTTCGCAAAGTGTCACAGACGCAACGATTGGATTAATGCGAAAATATGTTTAATTCTAATAATTCAGATCCGCTAGTCTTGCCAGACAAGTTGCACCGCAAAACTTATTATCTATTATAAGACAAACCACACTGAACACATAAATCTACATTTACTGTCAAACCACAGATGGAGTAAGACATCACACATCTAATGTAATAGTATTCTTCATAAACAAAACTTAAGATGAAACAGGGACTTTCATGTCCTCCTCCGCCCACTGTGTAAATTGTCGATTCTGAAGCCTTTAATCCAGCTGGAAGGGCAATTGGGGGCTATTTATGATATGGTGTTTACCAGATTTTCATAATCACTTGTACACTTGAAAAACGTTATATCTGCAGTAATGCTGGACACAGAACGGTATGATGTCTTATCCGATCACAGACGCTTTCGTTTCACAACCTTTCAAATTCTTTTCACCCGGCTAGCTAGGCGATAGAAATCAGCTTATTTTCCAACTGTAAATGATACGACCTGTACGCATAGGCTTTTGGTATGTAACTGTGTCACTGGTAAAAAGAGTTAAGTGATAATCGGCAGATAGACAAAGTATTAAAATTAATGTCGAAATGAATATTAATGTTGTGCAGCAGTCGGGAACCTTAACTACTTCGTGTAAACTGTCTTTTATCAACAGATTTAGGCTACTTCCTCCCTTGTGAACCCAAGAGATAGAGCCGAAAAACAGACCATCTTATCTGTTTTATTTGACCAGTTAAAGCAAATTTTGCCACACTTGCCAGGCTTGTTTCCTCACTCTTTTGCTTGTCAAGATCCGATTCAGTTAACCACACTTCATTGAATATCTAGTGACCTGTGGAGCTCATGCCTCTTTCTAGAAAGCACTTATTTCATTTTCACGGCAGCTATCCCGCATCAGTTTATATTTGAGCGTGAGGCCATTGGCAGACCAAACAAGATTTTGCTTACTGCGTTTAGTCCGCTGTTGTAGTCTGCTCATCATTGGGGGTAAAACCAGACAGGAAGAAAATTTTAAAGAAAACGACGAGTTCCCGTGGGTTTTAGGACAATAGCGAGAGACCTTTTCATCAGTTAAAAAATTATTGGAATTTATACTTATGGTAATTACACTGCCAATTGTGAAATACAAATGGATAAGAAAACTGCTAGATGTTGATGTAGCGTTGAAACACATGCCTTTCTTATTAAGTTTGTTTTAAAATTTTGTTGTCCCGGAATCTGCAAATGGGAACGTGCATTATTGACAAAATAGGGAGTCTGAAAAGAAATAAGGGAGAGGTATCTGTTTTTAGCACCAAGTTTTTTGGGGGACGTCACATGCACGTATGGTCACGTATGTCCCATAAAGCTATCTTTCTGTTTTTTTTTTTTGGTTCAAGAGTGGGTGCATACAATTTTACCAACCCTACCCATTATTCTGCGTGTCCCCCATCTCCTGCTTCGTGTATTTAAAGAAATGAAAGGTCCCTAAGATGTCGAAACAATCTGCACTTGATATCATTGAAAGGTTTGAAAAGGCTCTGAATTCTCGAGATCATCGGTTTTGTTTTGTTTGTTTAAGTGAAAGAGTTATTCCAAGATTGAAGGACCTAGATGCGTATGGCACAGTGTTGGTTAGTCGCACCAACGTAACAAACCATAGAGCCGCTTACATTCGAAAATTTGTTATTTGACAATACATACATGCACAGTGGAAAAACGTTGTGTTTCATGCATATGCGGTCTCACTCTCAACACTTGTGGGCCAATCAAATGCTTACGTCAGAAACATGTTAAGAAGGAATCCACCAGAAGTTCGAGTAACAAGTGGACAACAACTTTGCACTGAGATTATTTACATCGTACTCCAAACTTCTGTGCAACTGTTTTAAATATCTTCTCAAAAGAAATCATTTCTAACAACCCCAAATGTTGAAAACAAATTTTGAAATTCATATGAAACACTTGAAAGTACTGGTGAAATGAGACTGATGATGAAATTTTACCTGTGTTTGCACAGTTTCTCTAAACTTTAAAATTTATTTTCTCGAGTTCCTATGGAAAATTGTTTTTGGTGTTATTTCAGGCAACTATTTATATCTTTAGCCTTTAGAAAATGCAAAAAGGATTGTAATATATTTGAAATTATTCTGGTATTGATTTTTGTCCACCAAAAGCTGAAATTGCTCGATTTCCTACCGGATTTCGTCTTAAAATTTGATTCATTGGCTAGCCTATCTATGAAATGAACTGGAAAAGTGTCATAATGTCATTGTGGAAACTCGGCCAGTTATTGTTACAGATCTGGAAGGGTGTCTTAAAAAATTGTGGATAAATTTTGTCATCGTAACCTTTGGAAATTCAGAACGTAATATCTCTAATAAAAGGTTACGCTTTACTCAAGAGAGGATGAAGGGTATGATAGTTAATCCCTAATTAGGACTTATTCCCAAGATAATCCCTCTCAAGGTATTTTTAGATCACGTAGTCCCGGGTTAGGGTTAGGGTTTGCTTCAGTCTGATCAATCTGGCCTAGTTTTGCGGTCTTTTCTATATGGATCTATTAACCCTTCCCCACACACTCCACCCTTGTTCAGTTATTTTGACTACTTACTTACCTAATATACTTCATAGATGTCACGTAACTACCGACCTCCTGTGAAGGATTTACGAAGTAAGATCAGCGGTCGGAAGCGCAGGTCTGAGGATGTGCTGATGATTCAAGAGCCAAAACGAAGACGAACCGTACATAGAAAAGGAAAAAATAATGCGACGCGGCCCATTGAGTTCAAAGAACTAGAAAACATCTGTACAAATAGTGCTCCAGAAAAATGCATTTTAGAATTGGCTGGTAAGGCTGAAAGGTTCGAAGCCCTCTTAGCTTCAGAAGAAATAAGACCAGATTTGTTGAAGCTCGTGATTTCTGCATGTCGTCTTCTTTGCTCAGCGAATAACCTAATGACCGAGAACGCAGAGAAGTTGCTACGCTCTCCTGCAGTGAAGAAGTTCATGACAGGGACCGTTCTTTCAACTTTTATCAACGAGATGCCTTTTTCAGAAATCTGTAAGGACGAAAGAGAACGTGTCACTGTGTTAAATGATCTAGCAGCAATATTTCTTGCGCTGCTTCAGAGGCTCGGTGAAAGCATAGTGCACAGGTTGCCGCTTCCCCAGTTAAGTACCTCTATGGATGAGCTGAAAAAGAGGAATCTCATTGAAGACGCCAGCGATCTTGACAAGAAAATTCGACAAGTCAATGAATTGAAAGATCAGGTGATTCGGCGTGCAAAGTCGGCGTATGATCAGGAATCGTGGAACGAGCCTCCGCAAAATTTCAGAGAGCTTAGCGTCACTCCACAATTGGCAGACCTTTGTTTCAGGCCTTTTCTTCGCGAAAACATCACAGACAGAAAGTTTAGGGACCTGGATCATTATCTTGACGTGCAGTTTCGCCTTCTGAGAGAGGACTTCGTGATACCCCTTCGCGACGGCATTAAACATCTGACGAAGGGAAGCAACTTCTTGGAAACGAATTCTGCAAGTAAAGTTGGGCGCACCAATGACGTTTCTGAATACCACGACGTCACAGTCCTGTATCCCGTATGCAGCAGGAAAGGTCTGGTCTACAGAATCATGTTTGACTTGTCGCATCCAAAGGTAAGGCGAGTCAATTGGGAAAGATCCAAGCGGCTCAAGTTTGGTTCGCTGGTTTGCCTTTCCTCAGATGAATTCAACACACTTGTCTTCGCAACGGTGGAAAATCGAGATGCTAAAGGGCTCAAAGTCGGTGAATTGGAAGTGCGGTTTGAAAACGTTGGCATGGAAGAGATAAACCAATTCATTCAGCAAGAAGAGAAGTTTGTCATGATAGAGTCACCTGCTTATTTCGAAGCTTACAGACACGTATTGGAGGCATTGAAGGAGATTAAACCTGACGAATTCCCTTTCCAGAAGCATATTGTTGAATGCTGTCAGGACGTTGGTCCTCCTGAATATCAAGTCAAGAAAGAAAACAGCAGTGCGTTCACGTTTAACTTTGCTGATATCCTAGTTGCGAGAACGCCAGCAAATCCAGAAAATCCTGTTTCATATCAACATCAGGAGCCCCCTTCTCCTCCTGTGATGGTGCTGGATTCAAGTTCACGAGAAGGTCAGACAGAAAGCGGCAATAATGAGGATCGTTCAACTGGCATGGACGTTCCAATGGACCAGGAGATACCTTCAGCTGAAGTCAAACAAGAGTTCAACGTCTATAATTGGCCCGACAACGAAAGCCTGGGCTTTAATGAATCGCAGATGCGCGCGTTCAAAATGGCGCTGACCAAAAAGCTTGCTGTTATTCAAGGGCCGCCAGGGACTGGGAAGACATATGTGGGTTTGAAGATTGCACGTGTACTTTTACAGACAGCCTCGCTCTGGGAGGACGAGGAAGAACGGTCACCAATCTTGATGGTGTCTTACACGAATCACGCCTTGGATCAGTTCCTGGAGGGGCTTCTGCCAGTGACAAAAGGTGAGAAAAAAATACTAGGCTACACGATTGGCTTAAAAACCTCGCGCCACTTTTTCATCCAATCAGAAGTAAAAGCAAATTAAAACCAATCGTGACTCGCTCGCGCACGTTTCCCGCGCTTCGCATCAGTGGATTGCCTGCGTCCTTTTTGATAGGCCACAATGATTACTTTGGTTTCGGTTTAACGATACTTGATTGAAAGCCGCTCTATTGATCTATAAACAACACGTACGCAGTCTGATTGATAACGGCAAGTTTACCAATAGTCGGCAATAGTCACTGGTTGTGTTGAAAAAAAACGGATCAACATAGGCTGTTGTGCTCGACTCTAATATTTTCCAGATGAAAATTTGGTAATTATAGTTGGACGATTGGAATGTCAGTGGAAAGACTATTTTTGCTTGCTCTAAGGGAAGATTTCCAAAGCAAAGGAATCTTCTCGAAAATTTCCATGTTGTCATTTAATGGGCACTATCATGAGCCAAAAGCCAAACGACGTTTTTACATCAAACGAAAGGCCTTAAAATATGTGCCATAAGTGTCTTGTTTTGTTACGAATAATCATTCTAGCGCACTGAAGCTGCCAGAGTGGTGTTATCATGAGTTACAAATTGAAAAGGCACCAAGTCAGAATTGTGGCACCGTTTTGTCCAAAGGTCTAGCAAAATTCCCGTGATAGTGCCCGTTTAACAACAAACAAACTAAGCGTAAATCAAGATAAAAAATGTAAATGTTTTTGTAATATGCGCGGATAAAATGTCAAAAAACCAGACCTTTCGAGGCTGCTGACTCTTTATCAGTGATCTGAACAGCTGAAATTAAGATGTGTTCGCGTCATAACAAAACAAACAATGAAACTTCACTTGAGCGTGCTGACTTTACACTGAAAGAGAAAAAAAGTACTGCATTTACATACTTTAGTACAGTTTCATTACTGACTTACAATATTTACAACTTACGTAACAAAGTAACTGCGAACAAACGCATTAAAATGATATTTAAAACTAAATTGTACTAACATTGCTTTCTTATATAGCAGAAATGCATTCAGATCACTGTTAAAGAGACAGCAGTCTCGAAACGTCTAGTTTTTTGACATTTTATCTACGTATATTACAAGGACATTTACATTTTTTATGCGACTTTTGGAAATCAAGATAGTTCAGGAAGAAAGAAGTGGCACTGACGATTTAGTTTCTCACAATGCAATCGTGCAATTTCTTAATAAGATACGAGTGACAGGGTTTTCCCTCTTCGTTATAGATATTGTTCGTGTTGGTAGCCGCAGCAGAAATAACAAACTCGACGTCGTGTCGTTGAAATATCTTCAGAGAACAATCCGTCGAAACAGAGGGGTTCCAGACCATATTTTCAGAGCCAGGATACAAGCTGAGTGGGACACTGGAAAGCAAAGGGAATTTTTTGAAAGGTCTACCATGTTGCTAAGAGCCCTGAGAACAAGCATAGTGTCCATGAAAATCCTTGGTCACCAAGATTACATGCTACGGGCACATCACACACAGTTCTCGGAGAACACTAGCACTAAGCTAAGATCAATTGATGACACACTTCTTCATTGGCTTGAAATCGAAAGGAATCAGCATAAAGAAGAAGATCATTTCGATGATTTGGAGGAATTTTCAGCACCTGGATATGTCTTTGATGACATCCCATCGGACGACAAAGACCTCGACGGTCCTACAATTCAAGTAGAAGCTCTCTCAGTCGAAGATGCTGAGGATCCTCAGTATGTGAGAAAAAACCTCACAAATGAAGAAGTCATGACGGAAGAAGATGAGATGTATGTTGATGATATTTACCGTTTGAAAACAGAGGATCGTTGGAGACTTTACAAACTGTGGCTGCAAAGGGTGAAAGTCTACCATCTTAAGCTTTTCCAAGCTAGACAGGTCGAGTATGAACAAGCATTTCAACGAGAACAGGAGGTAAGCAGAATGGAAGAGTTCGATATCCTTCGCAGGGCACGTGTCATTGGCATGACAACCACGTGCGCCGCCAGATACCGCCACATTCTCCAGAAAATCTGCCCCAAGATAGTCTTAGTTGAAGAAGCTGCTGAAGTATTGGAGGCTCATATTATTACCTCATTGACGAAGGGATGCGAGCACTTGATTTTGATTGGTGATCATCAGCAACTGAGACCCTCCCCAGCCGTCTATGAATTAGCCAAGAAGTACAAACTGGACGTGTCGCTGTTCGAAAGAATGGTGAATGTTGGAGTTCAGTGTGAGAGGCTGTCCGTTCAGCATCGCATGAGACCTGAGATCGCTGCCTTGATGAAACACATCTACGACGATCTGGAAAACCACGAGTCAGTGAAGAAATACGAAGACATCAAAGGAATGAAGAAGAACATGTTCTTCATCAGCCATAACAATTTAGAGATGTCCTGCGATCAGACGCACAGTCATGTCAATGAGCACGAGGCTAGGTATCTAGTGGCGCTGTGTCATTATTTACTACAGCAAGGTTACAGAGCCCATCAAATAACACTTCTGACAACCTACATGGGACAGATGTTTGCCATTAAAGACTGCCTCGCAGAGGAAGACGATGAAACGTTGAGAAGTGTCAGACTGACGACAGTTGACAACTTTCAAGGGGAAGAAAACGACATCATTCTTCTTTCGCTGGTACGCAGCAACAAAAGCGAGAAAGTTGGCTTTATCAAGAGTGTGAACCGCGCATGTGTGGCGCTCTCTCGGGCCAAGAAGGGTTTCTATTGCATTGGAAACTTTGCTTTTCTCTCTAAACACAGTGACATCTGGAACAAAATTGTAGCCGATTTAAAAGAGAGTGGTAGCATCGGAGACGTCTTGCCCCTTGTTTGTCAAATCCACCATGATGAATTCACAGCTGAAAGAGCTGAAGAATTCAAAGTGAAAGCTCCGGATGGAGGATGCCAGCGGCCATGTCAAGTACGTCTGAGATGCGGTCATACTTGCAGACAGTTATGTCATCCACGCGACACCGAGCATTTGGAGTATTGCTGTGTGCAGCCATGCAGCAAGAAAATCAAGGGCTGTGAACACGACTGTCCAAATCTTTGCTGGGAAGAGTGTGAGCGACATTGCCGAGAACCGGTCATGAAAAAGCTACCAGTCTGTGGTCATAATGCACAGGTGAGGTGTGATACGATTCCATGGATGGTGAAATGCAAAGTAAGATGCGAGAAATCTCTCTCCTGTGGCCATCAGTGTCAAAGCTACTGTGGAGTCCCATGCACCGAAAAATGCCAAGAGCTTGTTAAGAGAACTGACTGGCCATGCGGACATGGAGCCACAACCGCCTGTTCGGCCACTCAAGCAGATTGCGGTGTCCCTTGTGAAGACAAGCTGGAATGTGGTCACAAGTGCTCTGGTACTTGTGGAGAGTGTCGCATGGGTAGAGTTCACAAACGCTGCAAGCTGAGGTGCGGTCGTCCTCTGATTTGCTCTCATGTCTGTACAGAATTCTGCCGAATGCCGTGTCCTCCATGCAACAAGAAGTGTGAAAACTATTGTGTGCATAACAGTTGCGACAAAAGGTGTGGAGATCTGTGCGTTCCTTGCAGTGAAAAGTGTGCCTGGGAGTGTATCCATTACAAGTGCAGCAAAAAATGTGGTGAGCTGTGTGACAGACCGATCTGTGACGAGCCTTGCGACAAAACTCTGTCATGCCACCACAATTGCCGTGGTTTGATGTGCGAACAGGAGTGCATTTGTACCGAGTGCATGAAAAATGACGACCACGACCCAATTACAACTATCTTTTTTGGTACAGAGCAAGATGAAGGCGCCCGGTTTCTCCAGCTTCCAGACTGCAAGCATATCTTCGAAAAGAAAGGCCTGGACAGGTATGAATAACTTCAATCTAAGAAGCGAGTGAACAATATAACATAGCTAGCAGAGCCGCGCAATCAAATTCAGCGTACGTAAGCGTGTTCAAAATCCCGATAGTGCACGCTGATAGCGAGAGCAAATCGCCTCGCCAGAAATTTTTTTTTTCGCGCGAGGGGCCATTGTTAGCGCGGGGAAAAATATTATATTTCGCGACAATAATGGATACAAACAGAGACTTGGCCCACCAGTCCCAAAACGAAGACAATTTTGCGACCTTTTCTCTTGGGCTAGAGTTCTTCAATGAGGCAGAAAAAGAGAAAAACAACGGAAAAGGAGACTCGGCTTCCTGCGAACAATCACTTCTGATATTGTTGTCCGTTTTTCGCGTCGGATTTGATGCACAATTCCACCGGCTATGTTATAAAACAATTGGTTCATGCTTTTAGCTGTGCACTATCGAGTTATGGAGCACGTGGGAAGTTTGGAGAGCACTCAAGAAGCTAGAGTTGCCCTCGGCTATCTCCTCGAGCAACTCTTACGCTTTTTTCGTGCTCTCCAAATTTAAACCTCCCACGTGCTCCATAACTCGATAGTGCACGCTAAGGCATGAACCAATTGTTAATTCGTAAAGACAATCGATCTTTCACACTTTTACACATCCACAGTTTTAATCGAATGTTTTCAGTTAGTCGTAGCAATAACAAAGCTGTGCAACTCCTTGTTATCAGACAAGAGTAGCAACTCAGTTTATGGAAGAGTGGGACAAGAGAGGGACCGCGAGAGTTTATGGTGGCGTTTTGGGTGGAGCCAAAAAGTTGAAACCTTTTAAATGCGGATGACTTAGAATATATAAACGCTTTTCGTATCTCTTATATAAAAATTATAAAAATTCATGCACCATGGAGACGTCCTTAGCCAAACCTATTGCAAGGCTGGCATTACTTCAAAACGGCAGATTAATTTTTTTTTTTGGTCGCTATCTTATTCAAGAGTTTTCTCCGTATAGTCCGGTCAGTTTCCTCGCTGCTGAAAAACCAGCATTTCCAAATTCCTATTCGATCTGGAAAGACGGCCCGCACGAAAACCAGCTTATATAGGGCTGATGTGGCTTTCTCTAGTAATCTTTTGATTTATTTAACATTGCAATTACAAGGAGAAAAATATAAAAATAATCCAATACTTTTCCGGTATTCGTTTTTCCCTACTGTCTCTGTTGGACGTCACGCAATCTTTTTCTCAAAGAGATTAAATGAGAAAGATTGCGTGACGAGACAAGGAAATGTCCAAAAAATGCTAATTCCTACCGGACTCCTACCTAAAGTAGCCACAGTTAATGAAGTTAAAACGCAGTCATACGCTTCTTAATTAATTTGTATGACTTGCGCTTCTTCTTTAGTTACATGGGGATTTCAAATGACGACACCGATGTCTCGGATGAAAGTCACCCCGGTGACAGTCACGCGGATATTATGGATGACAGTCAACTGATCCGACTGAAATCCTGCCCTCGTTGTAAGACTCCTATCCGCAAGAGCCTGCGATACGGTAACGTCAGTAAACAGCAGCTAAACGACATCGAGAAAGTCAAAGAAAAATTGTTGGGAAAAAAGAGTGAGCTGGAAGGGAAGAAAGAACGCCTCTCTGACCGTCACTTTAATATGCGTTCGATGCTTGAAGAACCAGACTGGCAGAAACTGAAAAGAAGTATTTTGAAACTGAATTCGGAATGGATGGCTGCTGTCCTTGAAAACAAGTTGACGCTACTGGAACGTTTCTGTGACACAAGGAAGAAAATGAAAAGCATTCTGGGTAAAGTGTCCCGGGAGGTTTTGTCAGAGAATAACTTGCAAGGTAAGTTTGAATTCTATTTGTCGAAGGTTGAACCGCTTGGCTATGAACGTACTTTTCGCGGGGGAATTTGGGCCACTTCCGCCGGACAAGTACTCCGATCGGGGATTTCTGCCACCCCTGTTGACAGACTCTCCGGTCAGGGATTCGGGCTACGACCCTATGACCCAGGCGAATTTGTCAGTCGCAAATCGTAATAATAATCAAATTGAACGAAAAAGACTCAGTTTGTAAGCATTTTGACCAAAGGAGGACAGGTGAAGAGAGGGTGGGTGTACAGTTCTTTTCAAGAGAGCAGTGGGTGACCAAGAACTTTGGACTTTTATCTCTGACCAACAATTTTGAGACCAATATTCAGTTTAAAGGCACCTCTAACAATTTCAGACTGCTATTGAACAGTTTTTGTGGTCTCCCCGATCATGAGTACCTTTCAGCTGTCAGAAACGTGACCTCATTCGTGTTGAAAATCACAACAAGGTGTTACCGCGAAACGTGAACCGGGTCTACTCTTCTTCCTTGCTGCTCTCTTTTATTAAACTTAACCTCTAAATTGCTGTCAGGGCGAACTCGAAACCTGGCGGTTCCTTTAGCCCCTTGGCTCCCATTTCTTTGTTACTTTCTTTAATCAATTTGTTATGTATATAATAAAAGTCTCCTATAATGAATCTGTGCGAGTCAGTAAAGATTATTGTTATTGTTAATTTGCTTAATATATACTTTTAACGACAGGCCAGCAATTTGGAGATGAGCTGTGCTACCTTAAGATGCGCTTTATGTCTGACGGAGTAACGCATAGAGAACTACGAGACATCAACACAGAATTCTCTAGGCTCAATCTCCTACTCGAGCTGTGTTTGCTGATTCACGAAATCAAGAGCCTGGCTCTAGAACTTGAAGATTCTCCCCGCCAGATGATGACTGCACTACGGGAGAAACTGTCCAGCTGTAAGCGCATAGAAGACGAAAAGTTGGATGAAATGATGAACAGTCTGAAGGCTATCAGGTAAGGATTATGTCTTTAATTGCACAACAGCATAATTCATAAAACGTAAGAACAAATTAGCGGATTGCGCGCTTTTTTGAATTTACGGTATACTCTTCCTTGACTTCTACACCACACTGATTACCTAGACGGGAGTAGATACTAATACTAATAAACAACTAACTTAAAACTAAGCACAAGCAAATTACGGCTGGTTTTCACTTGTGCGTAAGCATGAGCATAGCCAACGTATGTTGCTAACACTTGTGCTTATGCGCTAGTGAAAACAAGCCTTTACTAATAATTTGCTTCACCATTTACCAACTAATAACTAACACCATTACTAAATTACATCCATATAGAAAAGAATTACAATGCACATTACATTATACAATATACCAAGCAGTTCAATTAAATAGCGATAAGCAGTAGTAGTAGATAAGCGCGGTCTGTACATTACCACCTAACGGCACGATATCTTCTCGTCCGTACGACACTCTCACTGAATAAGCTCATATTATTTTGCGATTCTAATTCTTCGGTTTTAGGGAATTTCCTGGTCTATTTCTCCCTTTCTTTCACATCTCCTTAGATCCTTGTAGCTGTAGATTAAGCAAACCACAACGGCAGCGGCGACGGGAACGTCGCTAAGCTGAAGTTTAAAGAGCGGAACAATGGATCAGTCCTGGTGCATCCGTTTTTGCCGTTTTCTGAAAACAGCAACGTGAGAAGACCAAAATCTGCATAGAATGGAAACCGTGAACCGCCACGGCCATTTTCTTAAAATTGCTTTTTCGATTTTAACGCTGTCTTCTGAGATAGCTCTGACAGTGATAAATGACTAGATGAATCTAGATTATTGCGAGATTCTTAGCTTAAGTATAAATTCGAATTCACTTTTTAACTAACGTTGTCCTTGGCGTCGCCGTCGTGGTTGCTTGAGCTCCTATTCTTAAAGCAAGACGACGATGGTGGAAGAGGAGGGGGTAAATTTGGTCCATCGTTTTCCTTGGAGACTAGTATGCAAGCAATCTTTCTTGCGTGTAGGTGATGGAGTGCTCTCTCACCCATACGAGAACGAGAGCTTGCTTGTAGGCTACTTGGAGATTGAAACTGAAAGGAACTGCTGATGGATGCAGATGGTTTGTTTTCAATCTGGATCACATATACATGTTTTCCATTTTAGACAATCGCACCCCACATTGGCTCCTTTGACTGAAGAGGAGAAGAAAGTGATCGTGTCTGCGATCGGACTGTCGAAAGGTCATTGGTTTAAGTGCCCCATGGGACATATCTACGCCATAGGTGAATGCGGCGGTGCCATGGAGAGAAGCACTTGTCCTGAATGCGGAGCTGTGATTGGTGGAGCAAATCACAGACTGGAAGATGGAAATGAGCTGGCCCCTGAGATGGACGGCGCAAACCATGCAGCCTGGTCTGAGCAGGCAAACTTACAAAATTATGAAAATTTACGCGATATTGTTTAAGTTGCTCTGTGTTAGAGTTACCTTCTAGAAAACTGATTTAAACATTTTCTCCTTAGTTGAGTAGCAAAAAAAAAAAATCATGTTGCTTTTTGCAAAAGGAAAATGGCACGTGCTGTAAGTTGAATGGTATTTTTCTGGTGACCGCCACACAAAGAATAATTATTTCTTATTATTGCTACAATTAAACAAATTCCATAATGGTTTTAACCGTTACTACTTCAACTTATTGATGATCAAGAACATTTTTATCTTATCACACATATAGGACTAATAAGGATATTTTTACATTTCTGTTTTCTTAAAAATGCAATATTTAATAGAATTAGAGTCCAGCTAGGTCAGCTAGACAGCAGAAAAATAACTACATAATAATAGCTACTAGTTGTGACTACAACTGCACGTAAATATTCGACTTGAGATCGAATTTCCAGGCATTTAGTTTCAAAAAAATGAGTTTGCTCCGAATCACCATTATGTTCACGAGGTACAACCGTACAAATCCTATAAAATCAAAATCAAATCAATTTTATTTAAGCTCGGGAACGTGAGGAGTGGTTGGCCAATCTCCTGAGCCAGAAGCTCATGTATTAAACGTCCGAGCATTCCGAGGATCAGAGGCATTTGGTTTAATTTTATTATTTTTTACTTTCTTTTGTTTCGTTGTGTCATTCGTTTTGTTTTGTTTTGATAATTGCACATAAGAGTTTTACAACCTCTTTAATGACGAAATTACGTCTCCAAGGACGAACTGACTTTTCATCTTGTAGCTGTCACTTGCCTTGCTTTCAAAACGAGGTCCCTCCAAAACCTTTTCTACAAGATGATTTCTAACCACATGCTCGTTTCGAGGAAATAGAACTAATTTGGATATAAAAGGTTTTATACGTCATAAGGCAAGTTGGTATTAACTGATACACTGCAGGATAATTAAGTAATGTGTTTGGTACGCCATGTAAAATAATTTCAAATGATCAATATCAATAGTCACAATGTTTACCTGTCTGATTATTCCGTCCTGTAAATCCTGTTGTGAGTCAGTGGTATGTTAACGGTTTTTAGACAATCGGATCAAATTGAAGTGGAAAATCGCAGATGATGATAAAACACAAGGAATTTTTAATAAGCTCTGAGAGTCTGGCCATAGAGAACCGACAGGGAACGCACAGAAAACCCACAGGGAGCTCAGATGGAACGCAAAGAAAACTCATAGGCAACTCACGGGGATCGCACAGGAAACTAAAAGGGAACGCGTAGGAAACTCACTGGGACTTAAGGGAACGCAATGGGAACTCACAGGAAACTCAAAAAGGGTTTAAAGGAACTCAAAGGTGTCGCAGAGGGAACAATCACACGCTTGGTAATGAATTCAAAGTGCATTGCATTCTGCAATACAGGTGGGTTCCCATGAGTTTTGAGATGCACCAGTTTTTACTGTTTATCTGGGAGTTTCCCACTCCGAATTCCCCTCAAAGTACTGTCATTATTGGGTCTCCTCCGGCAGCCACACCGCTATACCTATATTTGCCTTTCTGTGCGCGTTTCCTACCAGGTTTGGTGATCACTTCAAGATACACTGCATTCTGCAATGTCAGTGGGTCTGTTTCCTGCGAGTTCCGAGATGTCCCCGTTTTAGGGGGTTCCGTACTCTAAATTCCCCTCCAAACCTCGCACCGTCGTTCTAGGGCGGTTTTTAAAAGGTTGTTTTAAAAGGTTTTTCTCCCACGTTTGGTAATGAGGTAAGGTGCAGCGCATTCTACTTTGTACGTGGTTCCCCTTTCACTTTTGACATGCCTTCATTTTTACCATTAGCCTAGGAGTACCTTGCTCTGGATTCCCATGCAAAGTTCATAGCCTCGTCCTTCTACGTTTTGTAGATTGTTACACTACATCTGCATTTTGCCTTTCCGCGCGCGCAAAGCGGACACTCGGGAAAAGTAGGTGCTACAGAACACAAGGAGGATCGTACCAGGGAAAAGCATGTTGGACTGCAGAGAAAACAAAAGGAAACCCAATGGGATCGCTCAGGAGAACGCTGAAAGAACATATGCTGAAACGAACTGAGATTTGCCGGGCTGCACCCACAGCAAAAGCGTGGGGTAAACACGAAATTACCCGACGGGAACCATTTAGAGGATGCACAGGGGAAGGCAGGCAGATCGCACGCGAAACGAAAGGTGCGCTCGATGGACCCACCAGGAATTGCACGTGAACCTACGATGAAATGGTCAAGGAAACGCATGGGGAACTCACAGTGGAAATACGGGTAAAATATTGGGTACCCTGCGGGAACGTACAGGGGATGTACGGGCAAAATAGAGAGTAACCCGCGGGAACCCACGCGGGAACGCATCAGATTAAGTAAGAGAACATATCCCAATAGTTTAAGCGGTAACAATAGTTAATTTAACCCATATTTATTTCCTTACAGAGTACACCAATCAATTTATTGGAAATGGCAATACAACTAGGTGGAGAACAATGTAGCGAGTAATCGAGCTTAGTTTCACATTTGGCCGAGCATAATTTGAAAGTATCAACACGATCTCTTCTGTACTGCACAACAAGAAGTCGTTAATGCAGTCTGTTTAGAGCGGTTTTCTCCTGAGCGTCGAAAAGTAATTGGTTTTGCAGTGCTACGCTACACGATTGCCTTAATAAACTCGCGCCACTCTGTGATCCAATCAGAAGTAAAACCAAAACCAGTCGTGACTTGCTGGCACACGTTTTCCCGCCCTCCGCATCAGCTACGTGTATTTACTTCCAGTTTTAATTGGTTCATTGGATTGTCTGTGTCCTTCTAACTGGTTAGAGTAATCACTCTGGTTTTGGTTTTGCGACACTCAGTTGAAAACCACTCTAAAGGTAACAACAAAACTCGGGAAAAAATAAATTTCATTGCGGACTCTAGCTTAAGGTGGCGCAAAACAGTTTCCAGCACTTCCCGAGACCTAAATTTTGATGCGGGTCATTATAACCACTCGATCAGTTGATGCTACAGTCATGGTATCAAAAAACTGCCCAATCACTGGTGAACACGTTGTTATCATTTTCGTGACAATATTGGTTACCATAGCAACAAAATGACCTGCTAAAAACACCCTTAACGGCATGGTGAAACCCATTTTTTATTATCGGATTTGATTAGCAGGATAAGAGGCGACTTTTGGCAAAGTTTAAAAAAATTCTGTACATGGGATTTAGAGCCACCTAAAATTAGGGGTGCTTTTAGCGGTCACACTGTTGCTATGGTAACCTATATTGTCACGAAAATTATAACAACGTGTTCACCAATGACTGGGCAGTTTTTTGATACCATGATTGTAGCATCAACTGATAAAGAGTGGTTCCATCAAAATCTAAATCTTGGAAATTGCTGGAAACTGTTTTGAGTCATCTTAAATTAAACGCTCAACCAAAGATTTTCGTTTTATGCTGCCTTCTTGGAAACACTTAAGAATCGCGCTTGTACATTGATTGTTATCGTAAATAATGGCAGTGTAAAGTTTAGAGATTTTTTTTTCAGTATATCTGATGTTAATTTACTAGCCAAGTTAAAATTGGCAACAATTATAACAAACATTTACGAGATCAGTTACACTTGTATGTAATAATGGACTCAATCAAAATGTACTATTAGAATTTCGTGCGTCCTCGAGAGTTACCTAACCATTTTTAGAGGCGTTCGGTATATGTAGAAATTACGAGGCCACTTTATAATGATAATTTATCACTATCTTAAAGCAACTTATAACACTTAAGATAATTGAGCTTAGAGTCTGTTGTAGAGCTAGGAATCAGAGGAGACAGGTTCTTGTTTAATAATGAAGTATTCTGTTTCTTAATTTACCAATAAAGCAATGAAAAACTTGTTTTGGTCAAGGCGTCAATACTATGCTTTGAGCGGCAAAGCTGTTATTTATATGTAATGAAGAAGTTCACTTTTTACTTGTTCTGATCTACTACTTAAACTTAAAATTATGGATAACCGGTTCCCTTGTTAGAGGAAAAAATCCTCCAAAAATCGCCCTTACTTTGAAAGTATCAATACAGATTTGAAATTAATTTGCAAATAAATGAGGTTCTGTTGTTGTGTAGGGGGAGGGGAAGGCAAAACTTGAATACTTGCAACTATAACTTAGCAACTTGACTACTCTTATAGGGGGGGGAGGACACTGGTCCCTGCCCCACCCCCGATACTGGGTATATACAAAGAAACAGAGATGCTGATTATGAGGACTTGCATAGCAGGGAAGGCAGAGCCTATCTCCCCTAGAGTTGGGCATCTCTAGGGGAGCCTATGTTAGGTTGTAACATAGGATGGACCAGAAGAGGGGTGCCCTTCTTAGAGGGCAATAGGTCGCATGATATGATGGTACCATCCTGGAGAGATCCGGACCTATCGCTGAGGGTGGCCATGGCACTTGTAATTACTGTGGAGCGAGGTAGGATGCACTTCCCTGCCACAAGACCTTTATTGACTAGGCAACTATAATTAGCTAATAATACGAAATAAGTACAACTGTGATGTAGATAAAGACATTACATTAGTGAAAGGTGATCTACATTCTGATGAAGGGTAGCTATAACACCATTGTATAGAAGAGGGGAGACAAACCTACCAGTTGAGGGAGAGAGGGAAGCAGAAAACAACTTAGCTCGATGAGTAGTTCACAACTGAGGCAGGGTCAGAAACGACGGGATTTTACTAAGTGGATATTGCCAGAAACTAGAGGTGAGGCAGAGCATGCTGTGATCATGTGTAAGCATGGATGGAAAACCATTGGGAGCTTTGACATACCAGTTTCCAAACAGAAATAAATATTTGCTGTAGTTAGACATTGACCTTGACCTATTGTACACTAATAGCCGTGAGCTGGCAGGACAATCTACGAGCCAATAATGCTTTTGATGTGGAACTGAGAGCCCATTAACCACAGTTTCAATGCTTAAACTTCTAATTAAAACCGTCTTTAGTTTTATGCTTCATCTACAATGCTGTAATTTTGTACGTTTGCCTGTTCAGACCAAGCCGGATAGTTTGCACCATCCATCTCAGGAGCCAGCTCGTTTCCCTCTTCCAGTGTGTGATTTGCTCCACCAATCACAGCTCTGCAGTCAGGACACGTGCTCCTCTGCATGGCACCACCGAATCCACCTATAGCGTAGATATGTCCTTTAGGACACTTGAACCAATGACCTTGAGAGAGACCCATAGCTGACACGATCTGTTTCCTTTCATCTGCTGTCAACGAAAGAGAGGCAGGGGTACCGACGTCTACAAAAAGAAGATATATTTATCACAGTACCTACGCTAAGTCCTTCGTAAATAAATGAAAATTATATTGATGGGTCGCTAGCTAGTCGCCACCGGTCCAATTCTGTCAAAAATAGGGAACGAAATAAAAAATGGTAGCAACAAATATTAACAACTGGGAAAGTTGTCGTTTTGAACTGCGTTTTCTGCGATAGAAGCCCGTTAATACAGGCCGATGAAATTTAAGTTTACCTTGAAAGCTAAAACCTCTTTACTGTCTCCATACTGATAAATAATCTACAGAGATACTTGTAAAGTTTCTGATTGGCTGAATTTTTGCGCGCAAGTAACAACCAATCAGAGACGCTTTTGTCACATAAGTTGATCAGATTTGCATCCAAGCCCCCTTCTCATTTCTCAAGAAAGTTCTATGTACAAACGAGGCTTGTCAATCTCCTGATTGCTGCCAGCGTTTCCAACAGCTCATCGAGTTTCTTGGTCTCTACGAGTTTGCCGCTGGACAGTTCTTCCCGGACATCTCTCATGCGCTGAATAGAGGATTCATCCAGCGTCAGGTTAAGGCTTGTGACGCTGTATCTCAGCAAACACAGCTCGAGTTGCAAATTAAGCCTGGTGAATTCGAGATTAATGTCACGAAATTCTCTGTGTGTGACTCCTTCGGACATGAAACACTTTTTCAAGTACTCCATCTCCCCCTGAAGGAAGACGCCTGGCCAAAAATTAAAAAAATGAAAACTTAAGATAACCACAAAACTGAGAATATATCATAAGAGAGGTTACTGAGTAATTAAAAAAGAGACCAAAATATGTTTTAAACATTTACATGTAAAACGCTTAAAGGCATTATGGTCATATTATCATGAGTGTGTTGAGCCAGACGGGTGTCATTGAAGCCTAACACATTGCCGCTGTGTTCTTCTGCGGGGCAATTGACTTTCACGGTGTCTTTGTCCAGCTGTATAAATGGGTGCTAACGAAATGTTGGGGAACCTGCAAAAAATGCTCAGGGACTCTAGCCTGTGAAAAATTAACGTCACTTTGAGGTTCAATTATAGTAGTACTATCCTGATTCCTGATTCTTAACCATTTTGCACTAAATGATTTACAAGCTTTATTAAATCTCGGAAAAGGGGCTTATTTCTTTTTGGGGCTTCTCGAAGAGTGGCCGCGGACAGTGGAAGGAGGGGGACTAGGGCATATTCTGTCCACCTGAACACATATCCACCCACTACGTTCATTGAGGTTTTTCTAGCTGCTTTTAGTGGAACTCCACAAGCATATAGATGCCTCAAAAGTATTGCTGTAGAGCTTCAAAATTCGCTTGATTTACTATCTCAGGAAGAGGGCGGGCTTAATGGACGTGGCTGGGTGGGGGCTTCTTGAAAACGTTCCGGAGAGGGCAGGGGAAGAGGTGCTTAAAAGAGGGGAGAAAAGGGCAAAAAGATCACTTATGATAAACACACAAGCCGAGAAGATAGAAACATGAACGAATCTTCTGAGCAACTCTCGGTGCTTACTTGGCTGCGGGGCACACTAAAAAGATTATCTTTCAGTCTCTGGCTCATAACGCAAAATCGTTCCATCAGTGTAATCTGGTTTTCAGTCACAACCGCTAATGTATTTGATCCTTTCGCCATTCGTCTCAGACTTCTCTCTACCCTCTTCCACTCCTTCATCTCGTTCTCTCCATGAAACGTACCCTTTAGGGCTATCAAACGCGTTTCTAACTTTTCCTGCACCTCTAACACTTCACCCGACTCCTCACGCACCTTGCTCTTCACTTTCTCAATGTCGTGTAGCTGCTGTTTAATGACATTACCGTATCGCAGGCTCCTGCGGATTGCAGTGTTGCAACGGGGACAGGATCTCAGTTGAATCACGTGACGGTCATCTGTGTCACAGTTTGGTCTGTCCATGTGCCTAAGGAGCAATAACGTCTTGCCATTATTAAATTCTGTTGTCTGAATTGTCAGTTGATTAGAGGTTAACTGTACTGGGAGAGTAACGAGTTATGAATCATTCCGATAAACTTTGTAAAATATATATAATTTTCACAAGCATTCATTAACTAGTACTTTGAAACAGGATTATTCACGCGCATGGCCACAATATATAATTCCTAAAGCGTTCCTGCAATTCACTTAACAAAAACAAGGCCTTGTTGTTGAAATGTTGTACAACTAACCGTTTACAGTAATGATTCTATTTAGTGCCCGGGTAATAAATAAATCTGTGAAGTTCATCTAGCTAAAGGAATCATTCTGAACTAAGACCTTAACTAAGTTGTCTGAGCGTTAACATTAGAAGAGACACACATTGGCTATGGCGGCGCTTCTACACAAAAAACGTCTTCAAATGGCGGGGGAGCGTTTAGTTCAGCAAAACGCCTGCTGGTGGGAGATTGAGGGAACTAAATCGAATCATCACGGTATATGAGAAGATACATGTAAGCAAAGTATCATAAATACTTGTCAAGATCCGACACGGCGAAGATGTGTTTACAGTCTGGGAGCTGAATGAACAGTGCATCTTCTTCGCCTTCTCCACCTAAAAAAATTTCGGTGATTGCATCTGTACCATCGTTTTTCTCGCACACGGCACAAATGCAGACCTCCCCACACAAACCAGGACAAGGGTGGGGATAACGCCTACTTCCACATTTGAGAATCTTCTTACAAGGTTTGTCACATCTTGGACGATTGCACAGCTCACCACACCGTCTATCGCACTTATAATGGACACACCTCCACCCGCATTTGTGACTGCACGGCACGCACGCCTGCCCACACTGGTGTTTGCACTTGGTGTGGACACAACGGTTTTCGCACAGCAAGGAACATGGCGGACAGGACATTGGACATGGCTCTTTGCAAAGATGAGAACATACCAGCACACGATCACACCTCAATCCGCACCGTTTGTGCACCCGACCCATTCGACACTCGCCACACTTTCCAGAGCACTGGTGACCACATTCCAAAGTGGCCACACAGGGGATTGGACAATCTGCCTGAGTGGCTGAGCAAGCAATGGTGACTTCATGTCCACATGGCCAATTCGTTCTCTTGACGTACTCTTGGCATTGTTTGGTACAAGGTTGACCGCAACGACTCTGACAACGGTAAGAGCATGCAGGTAGAATTTTATCCCACCGTTCTCTGCATTGCACGCTGCTCGAGTCCTTGCCACATCGCACTGTTTGCTTGTGTCCACAGAATGGCAGCGTTTTTTCCCCAAATTCAGAACAGACTGTTTCACATTTTTGGTAACAACGCCTAGGACAGTCATGGTCACAGCCCACGATTTTCTTAGCGCATGGCTCTCCACAACAATACTCCAAATGGTCGGTGTCACGTGGATGACATAACCGTTTGCACGCATGACCGCACTCCAGTCGCACTTCACATGACCGCTGACATCCCCCACCAGGAACGTTCTGGCTGAAATCTTCGGCCGTTTCGGTCGTCACCTCGTCACGGTGGATTTGACAGACAAGGGGCAAAGCGTTTCCAATACTACCACAATTTTTTAAATCTGGTACAATCTTGCCCCAGATCTCACTGTGTTTGGAAAGAAGAGCAAAGTTTCCAGTGCAATAGAATCCTTTCTTGGCGCGTGAAAGCGCCACACATGCGCGATTCACATCTGATATGAAGCCAATTTTTTCGTCCTTGTTGCTGCGCACAAGCGAAAGAAGAATGATGTCACTTTCTTCGCCGTGAAAATTGTCAACGGTCGTAAGACGTACTTGCTCAAGTTCTTCACTTTTAGCCGCTTGGAGACAGTCTCTAATGGCAAACATCTGCCCTGTGTATGTCGTCAGAAGTGTTATTTGATTGGATGAGTATCCTTGTTGTAGTAAGTAGCGACATAGCGCAACTAGAAACTTAGCCTCGTGCTCATTTACATGGCTGTGCGTCCCATCACAGGATTCTTCCAAATGGTTGTGGTCGATGAAGAACATGTTCTTTTTCATTCCTTTGATGTCTTCGTATTTCTCCACTGACTCGTGGTTTTCCAGATCGTAGTAGACGTGCTTCATCAGGGCGGCGATCTCAGGCCTCATGCGATGTTGAACGGACAGCCTCTCACACTGAATTCCAACTTTCACCATTCTTTCGAACAGCGACACGTCCAGTTTGTACCTCTTGGCCAATTCATAGACTTCTGGTTTGGGTCTTAGTTGCTGGTGATCTCCAATCAAAATCAAGTGCTGACAACCTTTCGTCAATGACGTAATAATGTGAGCCTCCAGTACCTCAGCAGCCTCTTCAACTAACACAATTTTAGGGCGAATCCGCTGAAGAATACGGCGGTATCTGGCGGCGCAGGTCGTTGTCATGCCAATGACACATGCGTTTCGAAGAACACGGAAGTCTTCTTCAAGCATCAATTCAAACTTACCTGCCAATACCATTTCGTAATCCGGCTGCTTTTTCTGAAGTTGATTTAAGTAATGTTTTTCGGTTTTCTGAACCCACAACCTGTAGAGTTTCCATCGTTGATTTACTGACAATCGTTTTGGGTCTTGGTAACGTTTTTCTCCGTCTTCAGACATGACTAACTCTTGTTGGAGATTCCTGCGCAGCCCAACTGGGTTTTTAGTGTCTTCTGTCGTGCATATGGTCACCTCAGAAGGTTTAACTGCGTTTGCCCCATCGTCGTCTTCGAAATCCTCCTCGTTTGAAAAGTTACGATCCGACATCTGCGTTTGAAAATCTTCGTTACCGTTCACATCATGATCATGTTTCTTCTTGGAGTCCCTCCTTGCTACCATCTGCACACCCAACCAGTCGCACAACAGATCGTCTAGGCCTTGGGTCTGTTCCCTCTCGAACCACCTGGAGTGACATTTTGACATAAACTGCTTTAGTATATGAAAGGACAGAATTCCTCCTCTAGAAAATTTCAGTACAGCGGTGCAACGCTTCAAGGATCCATCTTTTTCTAAGTCTCTCAGTTCATCGCGAACATTTCTTATCGCCGTAGAAATTCTCCGAGGAATTTGCTCTTTGGCAATGGCTTCATTCCGCTGAACTTTAAGGGAGCAGCACTTCAACTTGTCGCTGCAACGTCCACCGACACGGACAACCCCTTTAACAAAACCACGTTTTGATTAACTCATACCAGAAAGTTAAGCACAGACGCTTTTAACCATGGGAGGCAAACGAAAGTCGATGTTCTTAGTTTTGGCGCGTTTTCACTCCCACCATTGATAATACGAACCAAAGAAGAAAGCCTTCGACTTCCTTTTGCCGTCCATGATTCAAAAACGTCCTCCTAGCATAGTTAGATGCATATTAAATTTTTTGTTGACCAAACCTGACGCAAACAATGCGACACGTTACTTTTAAGTGTTTCTAAACACTTCCATCGTTGCCAAAAATCCCACTCCCGTTTACGAACTCAGACAGCTTAGAAAGATCATTAACCGCAAAGCTCCTCAAAATGTTCTCGAGACAGAGCCTAGGTGAACACTTGGTCTCACTGAAGGTTCCATCAAAACAAAGTCTCACTGCTTTATATGGGACAGCTGTCATTAAGTGTTTTATTAGACCCTGAAATGGAAAGAAATATTTGCTGTTTCCGAATTTTATTACAGTGGACATAATGTGCTTGCAACCATATCGCAGCCTCAAGACTTACGACTTGATCACGCGCGAGTTCACATATAACCTGATAAGCTTTCGCCCAATCTAAAACGGTGTTTCACATTGGCGGAGTATAACAGTACAGATCTACTGTAACCTTACCTTCAGTTGGTAGACCACCCAAGAACTCGTCTAGGGCATGGTTAGTATAAGAAACCATCAAGATTGGTGAATGCTGTTCTTCGTTTTGCCAAAGCAAGGAGCTCTGCAAAAGAACACGTGCAATCTTCAAACCAACATACGTCTTTTCCAGTCCCTGGCGGTCCTTGAATGACGGCAAACCTTTTGGTCACTGCCATTTTGAATGCACGCATCTGTGACTCATTAAAACCCAGGCTCTCTCGACCGAGTTGCAGATCGTAAACATTCACAAAACCTTCAGGTCGATCTTTAGCCAAGTCGCCGTCACTGGTTAAATCATTGCTGTCAACCGAGCACGAAGACGTCTAATGAGAAATCTCACCTCTATCGTCAAGTTTTCGCGACTGACCGAGAAATTTTCAAAGCCGGGCAAATTTCCCGCAAGAGTCAACTGCACGCTTCCGATTGTTTTATAAACAAAACCCTCCCTTTTAAAGAAGCTTT